CAGATAGATAGATAGATAGATAGATAGATAGATAGATAGATAGATAGATAGATAGATGGATAGATGAAAAGGAACAGATAGACAGGCAGATAGATGGATAGATGGATAGATAGATAGATAGATAGATAGATAGATAGATGGATAGATAGATAATGAACAGACCTGGCTAGATAGATAGATAGATAGATAGATAGATAGATAGATAGATAGATAGATAGATATGATAGAAATTAAATTATCAAGTATAGATGATAAACAGATGGAGCTAGAGATAGAAATAATTATTATATAGAGATAGATAGATAGATAGATAGATAGATAGATAGATAGATAGATAGATGATAGATAGATAGAAATTAAATTATCAAGTATAGATAGATAAACAGCTAGCTAGCCAAATAGACAGCAGGCAGATAGATAGATAGATAGATAGATAGATAGATAGATAGATAGATAGATAGATAGATAGAAAATGAACAGACCTGGCTTGATAGATGAATAGATGATAGATAGATAGAAGATAGATAGATAGATAGATGATAGATAGATAGATAGATAGATAGGCAGATAGATAGATAGAATAGATAGATAGATAGATAGATTAAATTATTATCAAGTATAGATAGATAAACAGCTAGCTAGCCAAATAGACACCAGGCAGATAGATAGATAGAGATAGATAGATAGATAGATAGATAGATAGATAGATAGATAGATAGATAGATAGAAATTAAATAGATATCAATTATAGATAGATAAACAGCTAGCTAGCCAAATAGACACCAGGCAGATAGATAGATAGATAGATAGATAGATAGATAGATAGATAGATGAAATAGATATATAGATAGATAGATAGATGAAAATGAACAGACCTGGCTTGATAGATAGATAGATAGATAGATAGATAGATAGATAGATAGATAGATAGATAGATAGATAGATAAATAGATTATCAAGATATAGATAGATAAAAGCTAATTAGCCAAATAGACACCAGGCAGATAGATAGATAGATAGATAGATAGATAGATAGATAGATAGATAGATAGATAGATAGATAGAAATTAAATTATCAAGTATAGATAGATAAACAGCTAGCTAGCCAAATAGACAATTCAGGTAGATAGATAGATAGATAGAGATAGATAGATAGATAGATAGATGAGATAGAAAATGAACAGACCTGGCTTGATAGATAGATAGATAGATAGATAGATAGATAGATAGATAGATAGATAGATAATGAACAGACCTGGATAGATAGATAGATAGATAGATAGATAGATAGATAGATAGATAGATAGATAGATAGATAGATAGATAGAAATTAAATTATCAAGTATAGATAGATAAACAGCTAGCTAGCCAAATAGACACCAGGCAGATAGATAGATAGATAGATAGATAGATAGATAGATAGATAGATAGATAGATAGAAAATGAACAGACCTGGCTTGATAGATAGATAGATAGATAGATAGATAGATAGATAGATAGATAGATAGATAGAAAATGAACAGACCTGGCTTGATAGATAGATAGATAGATAGATAGATAGATAGATAGATAGATAGATAGATAGATAGATAGATAGATAGAAATTAAATTATCAAGTATAGATAGATAAACAGCTAGCTAGCCAAATAGACACCAGGCAGATAGATAGATAGATAGATAGATAGATAGATAGATAGATAGATAGATAGATAGAAATTAAATTATCAAGTATAGATAGATAAACAGCTAGCTAGCCAAATAGACAGAGGCAGATAGATAGATAGATAGATAGATAGATAGATAGATAGATAGATAGATAGAGAGATAGATAGAAAATGAACAGATGAATGGAGATGGATTGATAGATAGATAGATAGATAGATAGATAGATAGATAGATAGATAGATAGATAGATAGATAGAAATTAAATTATCAAGTATAGATAGATAAACAGCTAGCTAGCCAAATAGACACCAGGCAGATAGATAGATAGATAGATAGATAGATAGATAGATAGATAGATAGATAGAAAATGAACAGACCTGGCTTGATAGATAGATAGATAGATAGATAGATAGATAGATAGATAGAATGAAAGGAATTTAATAGATACTGAATAAACTAGAATAAATGAAGAATATGAAGTAATTAAAGAAAAACAAACAATTAGTCATTAAAACTGATAATAATTTTCGGATTTCTGTCATACATGAGCACACACACACACAATTCGTTATTAAGAAAGAAGTTTTTATTATATTTTTTATTTTTAAATGAATTATTTAAAATATTTTTTGGTTAAATACCTTTCTCTATCTACTAATAGGTCGATTTGTTCTTGTATTGTCCTTTCTCTCTACAATTCTTTCTCTTTCACTCTTAGTAACTCCTTTGCGTCTTAGTGGCATTATCGCCTTGCTTGGAGTGAAATGATTAAAGAATTAATTTCCAGTGTCGTTTTAAAATTCTGTCTTTTCTTCCACTTCTCTGTTTTTAGTCTTATGGCCACATCTCTTTGGAACACCGGTTCACGTACGATCGCAGAAGTTAAGCAAAGTCGAGACTGGCTAGTATCTAGATGGTTGACCATGTGGGGATACTAGGTGCTGTAAGATTGGATGTATGGCTGGTGTAATAGATAACGGCTCCCTAGTCGAAATCGGAGATCCGAGTTCTAATTTCAGGCGGGTTCGTTAGATTTAATTACACACAAATAACATTGGCAAAGCTTCGAATCCACCTTTCCCCCCAAACTACGGGTTAAGTAGTAGGACTTGTATCAGTAAACCTTTATTATCCTAAAAACATTATTTGGATCTTAAAATATTTCGTGTCGTTAATTAACATTCAAATTGTTGATAAGCCGTAAGAAAAACAATAATAATATCTATTTTCATAATCATTTTTGGAAAGTAAAAACTGCAGTACGTTTGAATCTCTAGGATGAGTAGATATGGTTATTAGTGTTATTAATAGTATGGTTAATAACCTCATCTTTATTGGTAATATTGCTGTATTTCGAGCGTTGAGCCTTTCGGCTTTAATCGGCTTTTTTCGTCGGTCCGCGGAACCCCGAAGGAATTTCGATCGAACCCTTTATTTATCTACGGGTGTAGATTGTATTCGTTCCATTCTCCTGTCTACGTTGCCTGCATATTGTCCCCATCAGTAGGCCTGGTATAGAAATAAATTGCAGGCGAAACAGAACCTAAGCTTTCCAGTAAGGCTTCCAGATCAACAGTGAGAACGAGGAAGCCAAGCGTCACAGCCAAGCGGCAAAAGCAAATAGACAATATGATTAAAAGGTTTAAAACACCAAATTCTGTCTTCTGGTTTGGTTCGTGAATAACATGTCGACCTTGTTCAATTTTTGGAATTTGGTATCTAGGTTGGGTAGTACAAAATCGGACTTGTAAAAATTGAACTAGACAGGCAATCCCTAGATATGTGGAGAGGAAGAAGAACAAAGCTCAAATACATTCCATGATTATAATTTATTACATTGGGATCGTAATCACGATCCAATTCATCAGACCTACAAATTTTAAATTATATATTTTATATTTAACTCTGTCCTGGAAATTGAGTTCTACCTGGATACCTTTTTCCTCTTGAAAATTATATATATATATATATATATATATATATATATATATATATATTGACCAAGAATATCATATATATATATATATATATATATATATATATATATATATATATATATATATATATGTGTGTGTGTGTGTGTGAAAAGTGCATATAAATATAAATAAATATATATATGTATAATTATTTATATATTATATGCGCGGTACTTATTAGAAAGCGCTCAATATCAGAGATAGAGCTGACATATATGGTTGGATAGATGTGAGTTTTAGGAGAGATAAATATATAACATTTATTAAGAGTAACAAAGGACGGGAAAATTTGGAGAACCATGATCGCTAACGTTCTGTAGGGAGACGGAATATATAAAGAAGAAGAATGAAAAATGGATGAAGGAACAAGTTTTACAAAAGATAACAAAAATATCAAATTTATTAAGTGCTGTAAAGAACGGGAAATTGTGGAGAGCCATTATCGCTAACATCCTGAAGGAAGATGGGATATATAAAGAAGAAGAATGAGCTTGAGTAAATAGATGTCAGAAAAAAAAATTTGGGAGAGATAAAAATATAACATTTATTACAACCTACAAAAGAGAGAAAAGTGTGGAGAGCCATGATCGCCAACGTCCTGAAAAGGAAATGACAGATAGAAGAAGAAGAATGAACTTGAGCAATTTAACAGAGATAATAAAAAGAAAATTTATTAAGTGCTACAAAAAGAGGAAATTGTTACAAAGAATGGGTCCTATTTAAGCTAGATTATGCAATGTGAGTCTTCTTGATAGGCATGTGGTGGTATGTCCAATATAATCAATTATTGGTTTGATCAGGAATACGATTCCTTAAGGGACATGGAAATTTATATAGGTCCACTGTAATTTGTGTCTTCAGGTGAATTACTGCTTTCAACGAGATAATAAAAAAGAAAAGTATATAAATTGATAAAATCATTCTAATAACGACCATATATATATATATATATATATAATTTTTATTCTAAGAGATTTAATATTTCAATAATTTCTTCAGACAATTTACAATTAGTTCATTCATTTAATCACGAGTTATTTACCATCAGCAATATATTTAATCACCAGTTAGTTACTATAGCTTGAAGAAGTACAATTGAAACATGAAAACTTTTGTGTAGCGATTACAGATATTTTACTAGATATTATCAAAGATTTTTAACTGGATATTTAGTTTTTATATGTGTATCTATAATGATGTCTATTTTTCCCCCAAATACTGTCAGCGTGTAGTTGCCGTTTTCATAGTTGATATACTGAGTGTTGATATTTTAAAGAAATATGTTGTGGACAGAGCTTGGTAGGTTTCCGTGTGTGTTTAAATGGCTTCTAATTGAGCTAGGTTATGCAAAGTGAGTCTTCTTGATAGGCATGCAGTTGTATGTCCAATATAATAATTTATGAATTTGATTTGATCAGGATCGCAAATACTTAAGGGGTATGTAAATTCGAAAATTATATTACTCCTGTCTAATTTAGATCGTGCGGGTGAGTTGTTATTGTTGACGACGAGGTTAGATGTTCTAAAGTTTTTTCTAATAGATAATTACTTTAATTTTCTTATTATGGTTGACTGACTTTGTGTACTTCTTTATAATTCTTCTACGAAAAAGTTAATCTTGCTTATAATTAACGTCCCTTGTGGGTTGGTCTTGGAGATACCGCGTGATCTGCTTACGTGATTATATCGGTTCAATTTCGTCTACATCACGGTGGTTAATACGTTGTAGCTGTCATTGGTAAATGCTAATTTAATATCATTACTCGTACAACTACTTTTTGCAACGTTGTGAGCCCGGTTAAAAGATACCAAGCGAAAATATCAACCATAAGGTGATAAAGAAGAAGAATTATTTTAATAACGAAAACAAGATAAAAGAATTGAGATATTTTTTTTAAAGAAAGATGCACTAAAAAATTATAAAATCTTTCTCTTAAATGAGTTTAGAAATGAGATTTCTCGAGTTCAATGTTTCTACATTTCTTTTGCTTTAAGACTCGTTTTCATTTGTGTTATGGTCCAAGTTCTTTGTACCACGGTGATGGTCCAAGGTTAGAACCAATGAAAGAATAACACGAACAAAGGTATGGAATACAAAGATATATTACAACAGAAATATACTACAAAGAAGTAGAAGTATTAGTAATGACTTTCAGATTTGGTCAGAGTGAACTATGTTGTCTCGAAAAGTATCACTATTCCAATGTCCTTACAATAGGCTCTCAATTATCTCTCCTCGTCTTATAACCTTCTCATGCCTCTTGAGAGGTGCAGTATTATAATGTCCGGAATAGTCCATTATTATTATGGGTAAGTTCCCATAACAATTTGTGAAGAAATTATCTCGTATCCACTGCTATATAGCAAACTAATAGCGTTCTTTCTTATTTTTAACGAAATTTTCCTGTTTCTTTTAATACCTTTCTTAGATTTGTGGAGTTACTCCACTTGCTTTCCTAAAACACGACGCTAGGGGATGCTCTCTATGTCTTTAAATAGATAGTAACATTCTCCGTCATCCACTTTTCCTATTTCACTCAGGTACGGTAAAATGTAAGTCGAACGAGAAAAACGATATCCCCACTGGGGTATGCACATGCGCACACACACTTCATTTTCTCTACGACTTTCTCCCATAACAATCTACACACACACACATGCAAACACATTCGTCATTCTTTAAATGTTTAATTCATATTCATTGTTTTGTCACACACAACAATCTTTGTCTATGTATAACTTTATTTTGTTAATAAAGACATTATCTTCTTTTTTCTATAGTTTTGTTGTTACTTTGTACATTTATTACTCTGTCTCCGCCACTTTTGTTGCGGGATAAATAGACCAGGAGTCACTCGTTTTCCAACCTAAAACACGACCACCATACGATTGAACAGATTGGTGACCACGACACGAAATTTTTATCCTGGATACAAGAAACAGAAAAAAAAAACTGCATAAAGAAAGTCATACATCGTTTAGACACTTTTTCGAATGGAAATCCAGCGAAGAAAAGGTTTCGACCAAATTCTAATTACCATCTCATGCATGCGCACATGAAAAACTGCCAACAAAAATAGAAGTTAAAAAAATCTGTGATTAGAATTTGATGTAAAGTACAAAATGGCAAATTTCAAAACTCTGAAACGCATCTACTCGACATAACGATCTGGACAAATGTTCCCCAAGTCAACAAATATATTTTTGCAACATGTGTGACCCTCAAAAAACCCGTAATCGCCATCGCAATTACTGCTACGATCGCACGGTCAGCAGGAAAACAAGACTCACCTTATCACTATCCCCTTTTGCTTGACCCTTTCTTTCTCTTGGGCCATTACGCCTAAATTCTTCAACCGGTAGACATCACAAAATGTTTGTCACCAAAACAGAAAATACGACTTTCGTCTTATAAGTTTGAAGCAAGCAAAGTTCCTCTTATTTTCTTCAAATCCACACGAGAAAATACCATTCGAAACACTACGAAAGTCAACAACATTTTCAACTTTAAACAGTACCGTTTCTCGTAGGCCCAATTGATAAACGGTGAAATAATTTCAAAGACGACTCACTTGACCTTTCTCACTCTTCAAAGATGTTAACATTAACAAAACTAAGAAATCTGCAAGTACGATTTAATAATACTCGGAGATAGCTGCGTCACCGTAAAGAATTGACAAAAATAGCATACACGAACAGAAAAGAACCAGACCTTCCAGCTAAAATCAATTCAACATGGAGCATTGGAAAATAAAGAAAAATTTTTTCTACACTACTGATATATTTTGACTCGAGAATTATATACCATCTTGATTACACAGTACTTCAGACAAGTACAATTTCGCCGACATGTTTATACTCATCTCAACTACACTGTTCGACTATTTTTCTTTTCATCATAAGAGATTCAAAACAAACATAAACAGACTATATGTACATATGGGCAAAAGAAAATTCTCCTCCCCTGGAGG